GGGGTGAACACGCTCTCCTGTCCAAGGGCGTCTTGTCCTCCTCGCCGCCGCTCCCTCTCCTCCTCAAAGAAGCGCCTCTCGCTCAGGTTGTTTTGCCGCCGCAGAGACAAGCGGCGCAGGGCCAGCCGTAGGTCCTCAACCCCGCTCGCCTTTTTCTCTCTGGAGTCCAAACTGTTGTTTGAAACGACACGAAACGTGAACCTAAACACCTCACATTCAGCTCAAACACGTCGGCTGCTCGTTCTCACCTGTCCTCCATCAGGATGCTCTGCGTCCGGTTGTCGAAAGGAACGCCTTCTCCGCTGAAGTCTCCATAGATGGCTGAGTGGGGCGAGGAGAGGCCGCTGGACTGAGGCGAGGTCCGAGCCGACAGGGACTGGTTGGAGCCCGGGATGTTGGAGCTGGTCGGGGTCAGGGAGCGCTGACGGACCGTCTTGTTAACGCTCTTCACCGTCTCAAACACACGCTTACGGTGAACCCTGCAAACACCAGAGTCCTGCAGCGTTTATGGAAAACACAAAGAAAACTTGACCTTTCAAGTGGGAAGGATGTCGTTTTCAACTTTCATCCCAGACGAGCTGTTAAACTTTGAGCATGTGTGTGTGTGTGGGGGGGGGGTGCTCAGCTACTACCACATCAGATCTGAGCTCAATATTTGTACAGCTGACAGTGTTCACTGCTCAGTTAACTGTGGCAGCCATCTTGAATTGGACTGACTCTAAATGTTGTTCATCCAACTATTACTTTCTGTGAATGTCACTACAATCCATCCTCTGGTTCAGGAAATTTTTTGCTAACAGACAGAAACACACATGTACCATATTTTCCAGAGTATAAGTCGCATCAGTCAAAAAAAGCATCATGAAAAGGAAAAAAAACATGTATAAGTCACATTTGTTATGTGTTTATTTAATGGTCAAATCAGCTGTATTTCAAACATAGTTTCGCTGCCTCGGTGCTCCGTGAACACGCAGAGGAAGAAAAAAGGAGGAGGAACGTGGCTCGTTTCTCCGAAAATTAACAAGACAAGCACTTAAACAATTATTTGTTTGCTCGAAATTATAGCAAATGTGTGTCTCAGTCTAACATTTGCTTAATAGACCCACTTTAACGGTCAAATCAGCTGCATTTCTCCGGGGCAGTGCAGCTGGTTTGACAGTTCCAAGCAGCGAGCAAAATGAAGGTGGAGAGATTATGGCAGGCCGATTGAGTCATTAATAGCTGGTGAAGATTCTCAGTCATCCAGGACATTGTAAATTCAAAACAGCTCAAGAAATAAACAATAAAGTATAATAAATAAAGTCCAGTTGTTTTTGTCTTGAACTTTTTTAATTTGTCATTATAGCCACGTTTACCTATTACATGATACAACAGCATGCCATACTGTTACTACTACTCTGCTCCCATCAAGTGGCTGAAAGTGGTACTGCTCAATTTTTTTTCAGACAGAATGAATGCCAAAAATTGGTTTATAAATATGGGAAAAAAATCCATAAATATGTCGCTTCAGCCCATAAGTCACAGGGCATGTAAATTATGCAAAAAAGTGTGACTTATAGGGCAGAACATATGGTAAGTCACTTTGGCCTATAAGTCGCAGGACTGAAAAATGTATGCAAAAAAACTGCAACTTACATGCTGGAAAATACGGTACACAGAAACAGGCCAAGACATTATCGTCCACCACCGCTTTCTGCGGCGGGCGAACATCACATCGCCTCAGGACACACACAAACGTACTTTTGTTCCTCGCACTCGGGATCGTCCAGGCTCATCTCCTTCCTCATCGTTCCCTCGATCTCAGCTGCCAGAGAGTCCTGAAAACATCAAAACCTTTAAAGCACACACCCACGTGCACACACATCCAGAGGCGTACACACACTCCCTCACCATGGGGTACAGTCCCAACGGGTGGTACCGTCGAGGGGTCCCAGCTGCGTAGTTCCTGTTCCTCAGGTTCTTCAGCTCCTGCTGAGCTTCGTGCAGCATCTCGATACACTCCGCATATTTCTCCCCCAGCTCCTGCAGCTGTTGCGTTCAAGTCAGCACAGTTATTTTAATTCTATTTTTGATCAGTTTACGGCAAGGAAAGCTGGACGGTTACCTCTGCTGTCAGCTGCCTCTGGGCGTCCTTCGCTGCCACGAGGTGTTGAGCGAGCTCTTCATTTTCTACGGCCAGCTGCAACAGGTTTACCAAAACATTAACGGGAGCGCGTCGACACCTGAAAGCAGGTGGCAGCGGTCTACTCACAGATTTGGCTTTCTTTTGCAGGTCTACAATCTGAGAGAGGAGGCGGGTGACCTCCTCTTGCTGCCGGGAGGCGTCCTCGGTCTTCCGAGCCAACTCCTCTGCTATGGCTGAGATCTGCAGGCTGGACAGCCCTAAAGGAGGAGGTCCAGACGGTTTGATGTTTAGGGGAAAAGTGGAGCACAGGTGCAAATAAAAGAACGTTTTTCCTTCTGGCTGCTCCCTTCTTCAGGGGTCACCACAGCGAACTAAGTCACACGAACCCTTGGCAATTGTTTTTACACCAGCTGTCCTTCCTGACACAACCACAGACACCGAGTTACCACAGCCTCTGTGTGGAGCAGAGAGCTGCTGTCTACAGCGCCCAGGGGAGCAGATGGTGGGGGTTAAGGGTCTTGCTCAAGGGCCCAGAGTGGGACAAATGAGGGTGGATGCAGGTGTGGGTGTTTCACCTTTCCCACCCACATTTCAATGTTTCGAGAAGTTGAACCAGCAACCCTCTAATCACAGGCCCACCTTCTCTAACCTCTGCACCACCACTCCCCCATCAGAAGTGCAAACAAACAAACAAATAAATAAATAAAACATTTCTGGGGACGTCAAAGCAACTACTGCCTGAAATTCCAACACACAACCTTCTGTGTCCCAAATGTGACAGGCAGACAAAAATGCAGACTAGAAAGTAAGCCTCAAACAATCATAGCAAGAAACAACAAGTCGAATGAACATGTCCTAACTGTAGAGCAGAAGGGCCTGGTTTCCTTTTTATGTGTATATGTTTTATGTAGGTGTGTCAAAGTAAAAAAAGACCTCTCTTCACTTCACAGGGTGGCTGTGGCTAAGTGGTTAGAGCGGTCATCCTCCAATGCAAGAGTCGGAGGTTCGATTCCACCAGCAGTCACATGTTGAAGTGTCCCTGGGCAAGACACTGAACCCCTCACTGCCTCCGATGTGTGTCCCATCAATGTATGAATGTGATAAAGCTCTGATTAGTCTTTGTATAGATCTAGTATAGAGCTGTATGAATGGGTAAATGAGGCACAGATTGTTGTAAAGAGCTTTGAGAACCGTATTTTTTGGCCTATAAGTCACAGTTTTTTGCCTAATTTACATGCCCTGCGACTTATATGCCGAAGTGACTTATTTATGGATTTTTTTCCCATATTTATGAAACAATTTTTGTCTGAGATAGTTTTCATTCATTCTGACTGAAAACATTGAACATTGAATTTTGGTTGTCAGCAGCAAACTGGTTGATCCACACTGAGAAGGTGCTATTTAAGAGACTGAGCTGAATACAGCACCTCAGATTGAGGAAGTCTCTTGGATGAGAGACGCAACGTTTCTAGATTTTTTTGCTTTGTTTTGTTTTTTGTTTTTTTGAATGTCCAGAGGACCAGATTGAACTTTTTTGGATTTTTCTACCTGGATTATTGAGCATGCATCAGGATATTGAACACTACCATTTTCAGCCAATAGATGGCACTCGAGTAGTATGGCACGCCGTTGTGTCATGTAATAGGTAAAAAATGTCTATTAATGACACAATCAGCTTGCCATAGTCTGCCACCTTCGTCCAGCTCACATGGAGCAACTGTCAAATCAGCTTCATTTTGCTGCACCGCCCCGGTGAAATGCAGCTGATTTAACCATTGAAGTGAATTTATTAAGTAAAAGTTAAACTGAGACACACCTTTACTATAAAGTCAAGCAAACAAATAATTGTTTTTAAGTATTAATCTTATTAAATTCTTGTTACAAGTCCTCCCGTGCACGCTCCCGCAGCCACCATTTGGCAGCCAATAGATTTTTGGCACAACACCGGCCCACATTTCCAGGTTGTCAGCGGTGATGCACAACAAATGCGATGTATACGGCGAAGTGACGTATTTATGGATTTTTCCACTTCATTAGACATTTTTGGACTGATGCAGTTTATAGGGCTGTGCGACATGTATGCCGAAAATTACGGTATCTTGATAAGATAGAAAGGAGCCATATAAGTACAGTCCATTTATCATTTTACTTCTTGTTTTGAAGGATAAATTTTGATCTTATGGAAGTCAGTGAGAGTTTGGACATTCGCGCTCTGCACTTGGAAACAATTTGGGAGAAAACCAGAAGGTCAGTGAGAGACTCACTGCATGAAAAGAGACTAAATATGCATGTTTTAATGTAAAAAAAAGTGTAAAAACTGTAAAAGTAAAAAGTTTATTAGCTAAATTTATAGAGAATATTGACAGCTCTAACGTTAGTGTCAGTGAACACAGTATAATCTCCAACAGTCAGAAAACATAAACTACGATTGTGTAAAAACTATTCCTTCTGTTATGTAAAGTGTTTTTGTGACTCGATTAAACTTTAAATGTTTTCAATGTAAAGTGTTTATACAAACTGGATTCCAAAAAAGTTGGGGCACTAAACAAATT